CGAACTGAATAAGGATAGATTTACTGAAACAATAATCAAAGGTTAAACGTCCATAGAGTATGTTGAACGTCTAGTGTAAACTTAGTTTTTTATGGAATACGAAGGAAAGTATGTAAGCAATGATTTTTTATTAATAAATGAAAGTTAGATATCTATACCGCATATAGCTGTTTACAAACCTTTATCTGATTATGGTTACTTAAAAAAATATTACATCAAGATTTAAGATTTTATTTATATGTATGTATATTGATTATGATTCTAAATTTTAGTTACACATTAAACTTTACAGATTTTTAGTATGATTACTTCATATTGACAACATTTTGGAAAACAAAATAAATTTTATTCAGAAAATTTACAATTCACTTATGTTAATTCAAAAAGGCTTTAATATTCATTTTTATTATTTTCTTGATCAAAATAAATAGTGCAAATAGCTAAATTTTCACCAACTTTACCAATTTAATTCATTTAATAAAAAATATGATGGAATGTATGATATAATCTTCATTTTCCATCTTAAATTCAGGAACAATCAATTTTTAAAAAGTTAATAAACGGTAATAATATTGCTTTAGTTAAAAATAAATAAAACGATAATTAATAATAGTTATAATAATTAAACTCCGTGCATGTATATTTTTGGTTTGTCTGACTGGCAATACATTTTAAAGTTGTCGATTTATTTTCCATGAAAATACTATCTAGTTTTCATGAATGCATTCATTTTATTTTATTTATTTATTTGAATGTTTCGACCACTGTGGTCATTTACACTATAGTATCTGTAGTCTCTTGCAGTTCATTATATTTTATTTTATATATCGATCGAAAATTGAATAAGTCTTGTAGTAGTTTATGAGTCCTCTATCAATATTTGTTCTGGGTCTGTTTGAAATCTGTAGGAATCATAAGCTATTCACTCTGTTAAAATATTACTGTTAATTAATTATTAATTAATATTATTATTATTTCTTAATTAAATTCTTAATTATTAATTAATTAATATTAAGAATTACTGTTAAAATACACCCGCTGGTGGAACATGGAAACTTTGTATTGTTGTTACACAACCCAGCAACATGAAAACATATATTTCACATTCAGTTATGAACAATCATGATAACTGTAAACGTTCAGTCTACAGATTTTCTTCAAATTTCATCCAATACTTTTGCTTATGCATGCGTAAAGTCTGTATTTCAGAAAAAGCTCGTTAGATATGGCTGAATGTTGGAGGAAAGTAAGTGTTGGTGAACAAATGACACAGTATCAATTTCATCGAATTCTACTCACTGCTTCCTCTTACATGTGCGCAAACGCATTTTCCTTGTTACGCCCATATTTCAAAAACTGGACGATTAAAGGAAGTTTGGTCTGCCATTAATCAAGCTGAAATAATTGTTATCAATCCCCACCCATTACTTTTTAAGAAATTCTTTCAATGACTAATTCGCGAAGTTATTTTCTTTGATATTAATATGTTAAAAGAATAAAGATTAGTTTTGGCTCAAAGTTGAGAGAATTTTTGGAAAATAGTGTAGAAATGATTTAGTATCAATTTCATCAAATTCCATCTGACAATTAAAATTAATGTGAACTAATCGTTAAAAATATATAGCCTGTAGAATGTGGTTGGTAGTGAACATATGGAAAAGGATATTAAGTTTATACTTATTTTTTTTTTCTTTTTGAGGTTTATGTATTCGCTCAATATCTCGATTTAAAAAGATTTTAACTAATATTTTTGGCTCGAATAAGATTATTTGTACGTCTGATTCTTCTTTAAAATTTAATGCATTTTTTAAATTTAAAAATGTTGTAACATCGGCTGCCATACTTTTATCACTTTCATTTTTACTTATTTTGTTTATTACTATTTTTTAATTATATTTCGAAACAATTAATTTAAAATGAGTGGTAAAACACTTTTTTATTGAACCATTCAATCAATTTATCAAATTTGGTGAGCATGTTATGCTAATACAGGCAAACATTTTTCCCACCTGCGAAAATGCTTCTTCATTTTTTTCCTTTATTTAATTACAAACTATTTCATATTTTATATTCATCCATTTAACATTGGTACTCACAATTAGAGAAAGAAATTTTGTTTTAAATTTTATAATTAAGCCGTTTTCGAGAAAATTGTAAAAATGTATTCAATCGATTTTGGTGAAAAAATAAAATCATTTCTTCATGAAAAAAAAATAGTAGGTGTTTTTAGATTGGACATCAGACCGATGATAGCGAATCTCTATGAAAAACATATATGTATCCATTGATTTAATTTATTTAAATGATAAGAAAACTATCGATTACTTATTATTTTAAAAATTATTTATTAGTGAGATTTAAACAATAAATTCCAAAATGTCTCTATCAGTTCTTAATTTTTAATCCTAATCTAATCTCATGATTCGAAAGAGATATCTAAGCCTCCTGATTACAAAATAGTCAGGAATCAAATATAATTTAATTCTTATCATCGAACATAGAATCCGGATATCGATGTTTTTATGTTTATTGATTATGTATGTATCATTACACTTCATTACTTACAAATATATTATTGTCCTTCTACAATTATGTATGTCAATGGACTGGAATTACATGATTTAAATAAAATGATCGATTTAGGAGATTTTCATTGCACACCGCCAATAAACTTATTTGAAACTTCATTTAACTTTGAGTTAAGGTTAATCAAAATTTATTAAATGTGGATTGGTTATCTTCTGTTAAATAGACAACGATCGCTGGCATCGGCATCGAAACTAAAAGATCGTTAAGCCTATATTTTTATTTTTACATTTTATTTTGTAGGTGATATTTTCACTTAAGTTTGGAGTTTAAAATGTCATATATCCACGTATATGACATAGTTTCTCTTCATTGAAATCTGCGACAAATTATTTTTTAACGATAAATCTATGTTACAGCAATAACTTTTTGATAAACTGCGTCAAAGATATAAGTTTAATAACTGAATCTGTATACTGCGGATAAAATAAATCGATTTAAGCATATGATAAAACTGGGTAATGAAATAAGAAATAAAGTCAGTTGATATTTCTTTGACCTTGTATAAAAAATTAAAAAAAGAAAAAGAAAAAATAGTACTGTCTTCTAAATAATAATTTATGCTTCGTCTTCACCTGACTGAATTTATAACTGATTCCTTACGTAATTGAATATATTAGTGGAGACTTTTGCAATGCCTTTAAAAGGTTTTGAAAATACCTTCAGATCCATCTAAAGAAAACATGTAGGTAATTCAAATACCTGTAATCAAAAATATAGTAATTGATAATATATCTGTTTTTGCAAGGATTATTATCATTCCAAAAACAGAACTTCGTCAATTACAATCTATGTACGGGTGATTCCCAGAAAATGATCAAGAATAGAACTACAAAAAATCATTTGAGGTAAACAAATAAATACACATAAATGAAAATAAAATATTTTTATTTTACACCGACGTTTAGGCCTTCGTAAGTTGAAGACCTTCAGGACACCTACACTTACTGGGTGTTTAAATTGGTGGTTGAATTGAGGCAACCTAGGCCGAAACATCGGCACAAATAAAATAAAAATCTTTATTTGTTATTTTTATACAACCATATGATATTATAGAACATTTTTTTATTTACCAGGGTATAATATGACACATAATTGAATTAGTACAATATTTTTGAATATATTTTCCCTTCTAGGAGGTAAACATATAAAAAGTGTCCATTCCTAGGTGGTGAGTCCAGATATGGGAGAGCGCTTAGAATGTCACTTTTTTCGGAATTTTGTTTATATCCATTATAAAATCCATCATAGGAAAACTATCCATCGCATCGACAAAGATGCTCTATACAAAATTAAAGCTGATAAAATTTTCAATATGACTGATTGCATACCTTTTTTCACTACCTCTATTAATTTTCAAAATATCTGTCATAAACTATGGCTAATTTTGAAAAAAAAAAAACTTTGTCTCATGTTTATTGCTATTTTTCGGGATGCTGTTATCTCTTAAACCAGGAAAAATGTCCACCACATCGACAAAGACGTTTTTTACAAAATTAAAGCTGATAAAATTTTCAAAAGTATTGGTTATATATCTTTTTTTGCTATATCGCTTAGTTTCCGAGATATCCGTCCTCAACTATCGCTGATATAGAAAAATAATATTTTACCTTATGTTTTCACTGTATTTGACTAGCTGTTTCTTGATTGCTTCTTTTTTATGATTAAGTCGAGCGTTAACAATACACATACAAAGCCATTATATTACTTTTTTTTAAGTAAAACAATTATTGGATTTTAAACAACGTAAATTAAATTAAAGTAATACTTTAGGAGAAACATTTAGGAGCAATAATGTCAGAAATACAAATAGTCACGTAAGATAAACCAATATTAAATCCAAATTACAGAATTAATGACCATGGGACAAGGGTCTTCTATGCAGGATAGTCGGATGTTATCAAAGGAGAAAATCACTCGAAAAATAAATTAATCTATCGTCATAGGATAAAAATCAAAAGTTTTTTAACAATGATAACAAATGTCCGAGGAAAAGATAAGATCATTTTTGACTAAATGAAACCCTAATGAACATCAAAAGATTTCAGTTTGAATCATATGTATCATAGTATTTTAGTGGTTGAAGTTTTCGGTAAACAATGGAATAATTATATCGAACTAAAAAAAAAAAAAAAATGTTTAGGGATATAAGAATTGACATATTTGATTCAGCAAAAATGTAGGAAATTTTTGTCAAAACTCATTGATGACTAAATAAAACCTATTCAGTAAGTTTTACTATGTTCATTAAATGACAACCCGAATGAAATGACCACATTTTTGGAAAGATAAAATTTAACTGAATATAATAATGCCATATGTTTTAAATATAGAAAGAATAAACATGTAGAATATATTTATATAGTGCAAAAAAAATTGTGTTGAGACAAACTCTTACCAACAAGCTCTAAACCATGTTGTTTACACAGCATTTTAAACTGAGATTAGGTATGTTATGTCAGGCATTGTTTACCTTTAACCAAGCTATATTGGTATTTGTCTTGAGATTCACACAAGTGTTCAATGATGCAGGTGTCCGAATGATTCATCTTTTATTTTCCATCCCTAATAGGATTGCAGTTAATAAATAACATGAATAAAATATACTTGTTTTTTGTGAATATTTTTTCAACAAGAAAAATTACTAAAATACTGAAATAGCTTCTCATATTTAACATATCAAGAATAAAACATAACTGATTGGTTCCATAATAAACCTATAAAACCCCACATCATGGAAACTTTCCACTGAACCAATTCAACGCTCCATGACATTTAATAACTGATATCATTAAAGCTTTATTGGCCAAATGGATATTACGGATAAGGGTTCCTGCCCTGACAATGTCTAATAACTGGAGTCCCGCAGGGCAACTGTCTTGTCCCATAAATATGTCCATCATAATCTTATACTATAGTCTGATGCAGTTTGAATGTTTGAAATATTGATTTGTTCAATTAATTTTAAAATATGATTGATTTAGAGTGGGAAATTCTAAATCCATCATTATTTATTAAGTTCCCTCGTGAATCCAATTTAATAAATTGTTATTATATTAATATTTTATTATTATTATGTATTATTATTCAAACGCTTTTTCTGACACTACGCCATATCTTCTTTAATAAGTCACCAAAACTAGAAATCGAGCCATTATTTCTAAGATCTTCTTTCTCTTCAGTAACGGAAAAGTAGTTAATAACCATATATGTAATAATAGAAAGTAGGATCACAATTACTTTGATGAAACATGCCTAAGCTCTTCTCCTTAATGCCCTCTAACTATCCAGATTTATCAGCCAGAAAAATAAAGAATAAAGTTATGAAGAAATGTAAATCTTATTTGCTTATACTTCAAAAAATGTAACTTTTTTGCTCGTAATGATATTTCTAATAATTAGAAAGATAATTAAATTCCATATAAAATGAAAAAAACAACAGTGAAATCGGACCATTATTAGCAAAGATAAAAATTGGACATTGTACTTATGGTTTGATTAATTATTTTCAATTGAAGCGTATAATCGAAACAAAAAAAATAAACATTCAGTAGCCCCAAGGGTTAGCAAAGAGTGAGACCAGAAGACCCAACTAAGACTACTGATCCCTACCAATACCAGTACCAACCCAGATTTAAACTATAAAAAAATGAAGGGGGTATAGGCGATAAGTTGTGGGGGGGAAACGAATTATTCCTAATGATTTATGTTTCTTATATTTTAATGATTTTTACAACTGTAATAAAGAAACACATTCAGTAAATTTGAAAATATGGATATAATGACTTGAAAACACTTGTTGAGAAATTAGCCAATGGTAGCACTCTAATTTGTCTACATTAGGAGATCACGGGGCCATCTTCTTTTCAGACGCCTTTGAGGGTTATCAGGAATGGAAGAGGAAGCAAGATTAGAAACGAGAGGATAGGAATGAATCCGAATTTTATTATGGAAGGTCAGGTATCTGGACTGGGCCAGCTCTGAAACATAAGAAACATTAAGGTCATTATGGATGGTTTTATTGCTAACAAAGTAGGGAACATTGGGGATTTTACGATGGATTTTGGATTGTAAGGATTGGATACGAGAGGAATTCGATGGTTTAGTGGAGCACCATAGCTCACCTCCGTAAGTCCAAATAGTCCTTATTATAGTCATGAATATGAGGCTTTTGTAATTAATTGGAAGTTTAGAGCGTTTGTCTAGTAAGTGCTGAAGTAATCGGAAACGTCGAGGGTCTCTTGTCGTTTCAGTCTGGTAATTACTAATGATAAAGTTACAAAGTGATATATTTTTAGTATTTACTCCTCTCATTCACAATCACTATCATTTACTAATGTCCCTTCAGTCTGTATCATTCCACGGATATTGATCAGGTCAATTGCATTGCGCAGTATCGCAGGGCATCGAATTTCTTAAATAGAATATTTAATTTGTTACATTGGTAATACTGTAAGTATTTAATTGGAAATACTGTCACATTTCTTTAAGGATTTATTATCAATCTTCATTAACATTCTCCCCTGTTTTTACAGAATGATATCTAAATCATTCAATTGGTAATTTAGCATCCAACATATCTAAGCAGAAGTTATGTGCTCATCTTCTAATTATTAAATTAAACGAGTTAAAATAACGCCACCAGGTAAAAAGTAAAAGAACCTCTTAGCATCTTATACTCTATTGACATAAAAAGCTTAGTTGATTTCGACCAGGGCTTGAAATGGAAAAAAAAAACTATTATTTTTTAAAAGTTTTGGTAGAACTGAAATATTTACTGTCGATAGTTTTTCAGTTCTTTTAGAATTAGAACATTTTTCGTTCAACTTTTCAAGTAAAGGTTTTACAGAATTTGTATTTTATAAATAACTGTTATTTGAAAGTAGAAAGATTCTCCTAAAAAGTTGATCAAAAAATGACTTTTGTTCTTAGCTATTCAAACAAACGACACGTGAGAATCATCTTTAATTCATTCAAGACAATTTATAACTCTAATCTAAGCAGAATTACTAATTATTTTTTATTTAAAAGAACTTTTTTTAAGAATTTGAATTAATAAAATTTAAACTTTTACCATAAACCTGGAAACAAAAAAGTTTCTCAGAGCTTCTATTTTAAGAGTTTTTTTAGTAAAAAGTTTCACAGAAAATGTTACAAAGGAACTTTTTTAAAAAATTCCAACACCTGCTAATAGCTCAACCGAAACTTTTTGTGAATTCAGTTCAAACATTTTATTTTTATGTAATAAACCCATATTTTTAGAGAAAAAAAAATGTTGACCTAATGCTATAATATTTGTTGTTTAACCTTTATCTCTAAATTTTCGTAAATAAAATTCGTCATCTTTATTATCAAAAGTGGGTCTAAAATTTCGACTTTTATTTTTTTTCTGATTCTTCTTTTTTTATCACACCGACGTATAAGCATGCGTTTTATGCCGTTTTTCATAAAAATATTTACTATCTTTTGACTTTTGTTCTGCTGGACTGGCCAGTATGTGCCGTTGGAATACTAGCCTATAAATGGGCCCTTAAATAGAAAAAAACGTTGGTGACTCCTCTCGACTTGATATTCTGGTCGCTGTCCTAATTTCTATTTTTTGTTCTATGGAAATTATTTTTTTTCTTTTATTTGGAAATGAAAATCTTTAAATAACGAGTTGTATATAAGCATGTGTGTTCTATAGTTAGTCTTTCACAAATATTACGAAGATAAATAATTCATTTTATTTTAATAGCTATCTCAGGGACGAATGAATATTTGCTCTACTTTATAAGCCATAGTTATATTTTATATTAACTAATAAGCTTGAATAATTTTATTCATTGACGCATTAAAAAAATAAGAAATATTTAATTTTTTTTTTTTTATTGGATGCAGCATCGTAAGTTTGACAATAATGATTTCTTCATTTAATTTTTTTTTTTAAATCATAGACAGAATTCTTCGAGTGAAAGTTCTAAAGTTCTTGTAGTTGTTGATTAAGTTAATGATAAAATATTTATTTTTGAAAAAATTGTTTGGAAAAATTTTCCAGCAATTTTTGTTTTTATTGAGTATTAATACAGTCTGTCACACCGAAGGGCTGTTTTTCTTTTTTTTAAATTTAATTTTAATTTAAACACTATAATAACGAAGGGCTTTGATAATTTCACATCAGTAATTATTTATTAAAAAAATATTTTAATATATTTATTAACTTATGTTTATTGTTACCTCTACCCTGTAGGGTCATTGGTAAAACCTTTTTTTTATACTCTGTTATAGAATTTTATACTTTTTAATAGTTTAAAAGATTTTCCAATACTTTTTCATGGTCATTGCGGTTTTCTTACAGGCTCTGAGCTATATCTAATTTTATTTCTTATGTTTTAAGTACTGGGTAGTCTTGAAATTGAATTAATAATTTAATATTTAGAAATTGGGTATGTATTTTTATTTTACTATCTAGATTAATGAATATAGACTTTATTAATATTACCTAATACATTCATAATATTTTATAAATTATATTTTTATTCCGTTAAATTAAAATATTCTTGTACTTTTAACAATAAAATAATCCGTGGTATTGACCCCTTTTAGGTGAATTATTAAAATCCGGCTGAAACTTCGTAAATATTTTATTTACGTAAATTCTCGAAATTGGGTCGTTTTCAATCTGGAGGTCGGCAAACTTTGTTTATTCAGTTAGCGACTAAAAACTCGTAAATAATCATTTACTCTCCACTTGAATCGTAAGATTTTTTTTTTCCACACAAAGTTGGAAAAAAAGATGGCCTTCAAAACTATTGAGCCATTTGGCGTGACCTACAACCCCAAATTCTCCAAATAACGAGGTAATATAGGCCAAACGGCCCAATATTCTTATAGACCATCTTTTTAATCGATTTTGTGATCAAGTTATGTTACGAAAAAAGTGGAAAGCAAATGGGTATTTACGAGTTTTTGGTATCTAATTAAATAGCCAAAGTTTGCCGACCTCCAGATTGAAAACGCCCCCAATTCCGAGAATGTTCGGAAATGAAATATTTCTAGATTACTATGAGATAAATGTATTTATGAAGTTTCAGCTGGATGTTAATAATTTGCTAAAAGGGACTGTACCAAGTCAGTAAGTCTGTACCAGGGACTAAAAGGTTAATTGCAAAGATTTTTTTTTTCTCATACCTCTTGATTTTTGGCTTTCTCCACGAGTCTCCTAGTAGCTTTGTGCTGACATAGGGGACAACTGTCAATCGTTTGGTTATCTTTAAGCGTTTAGTTCTCTTGAAGATGTCCAGATTGCACGTGGTTAACAATAACCGAACGGGATCACAACCACTCCCTCTTCATCAGGCAGTTTCCTGAAGGATGGTTGCCAAAGAAATCTCCACCCTCCTTCATGTACTCCTCGATGTACTCCTTGATGTCCTCGAAACAACTCTGTTATAGATGGGGGCACTTTGCTTGGTGTGGAATAAATTCTTTTTGAGTATTATAATATATTTTACATTCTTGGCAGTAAGCGTTTCTTTTCACGGTCATATGTTTCCTTTTGAAAAATAAGTGCATATTTAATAGTGATACTTATTTCTTAGCATGAGTTTGACCGTAATGCTCAGAATCAACACAATGTTTACTATTTGATTTAGCGAAAGTTGATTTGAAATACTATAACTTAAAACAACTTTAACTCTAAAGGATAGGTTATAGGATGTAGTTAGGTTAGGATGTAGTTAGGTTATAATGTAGTTTATGATATTTCTGACAGTTTCGTTACTAATTTTAATTCTATGTATTTTTTAAAATGTATACTAATTGAAATTTACAGCTATTAATGACTCTTCCTTTGTTATAAAAAAAAACTTCTATTGTTACCAGTACACAGTGTATTTCGCTGTTCTATCTATCACGCCTTAGAAGTTGTACTATTATGTAATAGAAGCATCGGTCGTTTGAATGCTTGAGGAACTGATGCTCGTTTCCTCAGACATGTTGAAGTAGAGAATGGGAAGTTCATCGCCCTGTTGTCTATTGTTTCTTGTGAAAGATCTCTTTCATTTTTTCGTTCTTACGTTTTTCGAAGAAAAAATTATTGTTGCTTACAAAATCACGGTATACTTCATTTTGTATAGAATTATTTCCATCTTGATCTAAAACAGCTAAGTCCGCATGGTTAATACGTGATAAAGTATGTTTGATATGTAGTTTTTAATATATACATTTTTTTTAGTTCAAAATTTTTTCAATTTAAAAATAACAATAAATAATTATTCTTCCATCAACTAGCTACAACATATCAATATATCTCAGCTCAAACCATATTATTGTACTCATTGCTATTTAATTACTACTTTATTTTAAAAATTATTTTACGTTTTCATATTAATAATGATTATGCTAACTAATTGTTTTAATTTTTATTTAAAATTTGTATGTATATATTAACACTTGTCAAAAATAATAATAACAATGGGATGAAAGACGTGAGGGAGAGCAGTACCCAGCGGCACCTCCTCTTGCCGTGATATCTGTTAGGTGAGGAGGTCTCTCATCCAGCTCCTCTTCAACCTTATACGGCCATTACCTGGGTGTTGGGGTGTCCTTGTAATTTTTCATGGAACCGTTTATAATGGGTTCGTATTTTTTCGCCAGCAGTCGGATATGAAGGTCGGTGTGTAAGGTTATTTTTCAAACGTACCAAGGTGCTTTAGTAATAATTACTATTAGTAAATTATTGAAGTTTGGTAATTTGGGTCTTTTTTGCTGTTCTAAATATCTGTGATGCGTAAGTCGAAATAGGTTTCTAAGTTTTAGTTATGAGTAAACCCTCCATAATGACCTTCATATCCCATTTGTTATGGACCTAATCCTAGACTAATTTTCCAAATTTCACCAGAAACTCACTCATCATCCAAATCCTGTAGCACAATCCCTATCTAGCTCTAGCATCCCTACAATCCTCCCCGGAGGTTAAAACGGCAGTGGCCTCGCGACCTTTTGTAAATATGTATATATTGGAGTACTGGCAATGGCCAGATTCTCCGCTCATGTCCTGAGCGTCTGTTGCTCTAGAGCCCTCCATCAGTCTCCACTGGCTTGCAATACCACTGACGCGGCTGGGAGAGAAGCAGTGGGATCTCATGGGGTCCTTGGCTTCCACATTTGGGCGACAAAGCATGACTCAGAATCATCTGGACGAATGTAAATATTGTACATAGGTGTGAATGTGTTCTATATATTTCAATTTCATTTAGCTTTTCTCTTTTCTTTTTTTTTCATATTTATTTAATTAATTTTTTTTGTCTATGTATGTTAAACTCTTTTTCTTTTATCTCTATTTTAGTTATCATTTGTTATTTTAGTTATATATATGTGAATGTTTAATGTAGCCCTAATATTAATGCCCTCCAATGCGACAGAATGTATTAATTTTCAAATAAAACAAAAAAATAAATAAATAAATAAAAAGTTATGAGTGTTTCCATAGAAGTGAATGTAGATGGGAATGTGAACGGTATTTATTTGTGGAATCTGAGTATTGTCAAGGAAAACTGGAGGGCATGTTTCTTGTCGAAGAGTAAACGTGATGGTATGTGATTTGTCTTGATTCAGTCGGACTGTCTAGAGCTCAAACCAATCATGTACATTAGTTAAATAATGTTGCAGGGTCTGGAAGTTGAATTTTCATGTCTTGCTAAAATAGCGGTGTCGTCAGCATATAATTATTTTTAATTCCATATCTATATTAATAAAAACGTTAATGTTCGTCTGTTCAAAACTTCTAATTTCCGAAACTGCTCCAACGATTGCTTTGAAATATTGATATAATGTTCCTATCGCATTCAGAAATGTTTCTGTATACATTTAATCACTCTCCGGTTTTTCGTTTCGGAAAGGCGGCCTAAAAACCTGTGTCGCTATTAATTAAACTTGGCTAAAGTCTTCTCCTTGAAGCCCTTTCAATTTATGTATATAATACCCTTCCCCTAAAAGTGTATGAAAAAAAAATTAAGATGGGTTCAAAACTATATTTGCGAATAACTCAAAAAGTACACAATTTTGTTTGAATATACCCATTACTATTTAAAGGCTTTATTAATTTCCTGAAAATCAAAAAACAAATCACTAAAATCGGACGATGTGGTGCAGAAATATAATGCTTTAAACATTTAGTAATTTTTCTTGGGAGATTTAGAGACCGATTGCTTCTTATATAGACAATTACATGTTGAGAAGTCTAGAGTTGGAAAATCAGACAATCTCTATATCTATACAAAGTATGGAACAACAAAGAATATCCCATATTTACAAGTATTTTTACATAAGTTTATTTTTTATTAAAAATACTACAATCTGTATCAAAGGATATTTTGAATAGTGTTTAGAGATCACATTCACACTCTATGTACAATAATAATAATATATATATATATACAATAAATATGTATAAAACCTAAAATAAATAAATTTAAAAACACATACATACATATATGCCCTATTTACAAACAGGCGAGAGAACTCCGAGCCAGGCCTGTCCGTCCAACTGTGGAGGGAAAAGCATGATTCCAGGAGATCTCTGCACTTCTCTCTTAACCGCGTCACTGGGGCCAAACCCATTGGAGATTGAGTGGGAGTGCTAAAATATATTAGAAACATCTTTTCTATTTCTTCTTTTTATTTAACCAGAACGAACCACAGCAAAGCGTGGCCGAGTACAGCTAGTTATATCAACATAATGTTGCCTATCCATTTTATATCTTTTTTAAAATTAACTACATTTTAAATATTTTAAGGAAAATTTAAATTTTTAATTTAAGGAAAACTTCTGAAAATTAACATATTAGAATAAATCATCAAGAAATGAATAAAAACATATATTTATTTCATATCCTTATCAGTGCATGATGAAATTTAAATATTAAATAAAACATAGGGCAGTAAAGTTAGGAAGTTAAAAAAAAATATATTGAGATTTTAGTTAATTTTAAAACAGACATAAAAAGGATAGATATGGTTATTCTAAACGAAGTATTCAGAAATTTCCAAAGTAGAGCTTATAGTTTAATAAGTTAATAGTTAAAAGACTTTGGACGGTGCAGATTTTTTTTACATAGGACTCCATCTGGACAAACGTCTAACTTGGAATCCTCATACCAGACTGAAACGACAAGAAACAGTTCGACGTTTCCGACTACTTCAACACTTACTAGACAAACGCTCTAACCTTCCAATCAATTATAAAGGACTCATTTACATGACTATAATAAGGCCTATTTGGACTTACGGAGTTGAGCTATGGGGCTCCACCAAACCTTCAAATTCCTTTCGCATACAATCCTTACAATCGAAAATCCTTCGTAAAATCCTCAATGCTCCTTACTTTGTTACAAATAAAATTATCCATAATACCTTAATGTTCCTTATGTATCAGATTTGGTCCAATCCAGATATCTGTCCTTCCATAATAAACTTCATAACCATCCCAACCCTCTTGTCTCTGACCTTGCTTCCTATTCGATTCCTGATAACCCTCCGAGGCGTCTGAAAAGAAGATGGCCACGTGATCTTCTAATATAGACATATTATTAGAGTGCTACCAATGGGTAGTTTCTCAACATGTGTTCCATGTCTTTATATCAATGTACGAATTTACCAGATGTATTTTCTGTATACAGTTGTAAATATCATATAAATAAATAAATAAAAAAAAAAAGATTTTTTTTAAAAAGCGTTGTGCTGATGTTCTCGAATTTTGGTTCGAAATAAAATTGATCTTCTTTAATTATTCAAAAAATAAACTAAATGACTTGCATGTTATTTAAATAACAACTTGTGGCCCACCAAACAATTGTCTGTATTTATCTATACAAAGCTGTATCGAACAGCCATGAAATTGTATTATCTCAGTTCTATTCATGTGCATGGCTTGTCGCCCTTCAGGCGCAAACAAAATTTAGAACACAGTTTCGAGATCAGTGCATCGTAAGTTACCTTTAACAATTCGGTGGCTACCGATGTTCACAATAATGGCCTTGATAAGGTAATTAGTAATTAAATAAATACACTTCTCATTTAATTCAGAATAACCGAGTTTCTTAGAAAGAAAGGGGAAAATCCAATGATTATTACAGTTACTTAACAGAAAATCTTGTAGAAAAGGCAGAAATCTGCAATTCGATCAAACCGTGATAGTCTCATAAAAATTGAAATATTTCCATTT